TAGTTTACATGCAGCCTACTGTGAATGAACGTCACCCACAGACATCATCCAGCCCACGTCGATGCACTTGTTCTCACACTTAAATCGGAATGTAAAAAGAAAAACTGTGAATAAACCTGTAGCGGAGTAGGGCTTTTAAATTATGTGAATGATATGAACATTTTCTGTGAATACAGATCATAGCATTTGCTCCCATGGTGATTTTTTATTCATGACAGAAAATATAAACATCATCATCAGAGACTATGATGTCAACAATCATATTCAAAATCTATTGATCTTTTTTGGCTCAACAGCCCAATGAAGGTGGAATTAAAACCTCTAACAGTCCATAAACAGAATTATACAAAGTGACCAGAGGTGTTTGTACAGGCAGCTACATACCACTGTTTCTGTCACTCATATCTGACAGGTTCTAACCGGTCTGGCTGTGATGTGTTTGCAGTAGAAGTGCAGCAACACTTTTATGGAGCTTATGTCTGGATGAAACAGGTGAAGCCTCAGCACATCCTGGGGGCTTTCCTTTTTCACACCAATGCTGATTGCCTGCAGCTATTTCTTGCTCTCACCTCAACTTGTCCTACACAGGGTTCTGTCTGTCTCTTTTTTTCCACTGGTCCCTGGATGCAGGGACTGTGATAGATGGCTCTTCATAGCAGAGCTATGATTTGGACAACAGCTGGGTCTTGTACAGACTTTCATTAATGACAAAGACAAAATGGTGTCTCGCACAGAACCACTTTATGTTTTACAACAGCACCCTCCATCAAAATTACAGTGGAACGCCTTTCACACAGTAGCTTCAAAATAACCCTTAGTTCCTGGGCACTGCACTTCCAAACTGTAGTCACACAACAGATTAGAGCCATAGACTCGACCACTGGTTATTTCAATGGTTTATCTTCTGTTCATTTATATGCATTCTTAGTTGTTTGTCAATGTTTTTGATTTTTTTTTATGTTTGTTACTGCAGCTTCTGTTGTTTTACTCTTATTCACAACATTTGGACAGAGGTCGTCAACAAAGAATTGTTTCTAGGTTATTTTTTATTCTCTTCACAAAATCACACTGAATTTTTCATAATGATTCCATTAGGATGTCAGTGCTGACACTTAAATTGATTCATTAGATCTGATGATCATTGATTTGCTTGAATTATCTACTTTACCTCCCATTTACTTTCAGATGTGTTCATTTCTTGAGTACTTTTAAAAAATGAAACGTGAATATGTTTTCAGCCCTGTCATATCGTTATTATGATTAAACATATGCCCCCCTTTCCGACCAGAAAAGGGTTAAGTGATAGAGAATGATGGATCCATAATGGATAGTTTACAGAATAACTTCAATGTTAAAAACTTGGGATGGCTCATGATCCGATATCTCCTTCCCCCCAGCATGCCGCAGGCTGCTATTGCTGAGGTGATAAAAATCCCTGTTTATGGGATGTTGTGCAAAGTTAAGTTGAGCAGTTGAACTTAGATTTTAGAGTTTCAGATTGGATGGGCTGTAGTGCTTTTGTTTGATTTTTGATCCTTAAATTTTGACCATTATCGAATCGATACCGATCAAACCATCCCTAGATGAAACAGTTTTAAATGGACTTACCTTATTGAGGTGCATTGAAGTCGTTTCTTTACTTTTCTTCTTTAGTGAAGGCTCAACCACAATATTGCCTCCAGTAATGACTCCAGATAGGGCTCCCTGGATGGATGTCCTACGGTGATACCAACACAGATCATTTACTCCAGCATAGATGATATTAAACATCTTGGTTTCAGATGTGCCATAAACTGAATGATCTTTATGTTATGTATGAAAAATGACTGCCTTTTCTCTTTTGTTGCTTTTGCTTTTATTGAATATTCTTGCATTCGTCTGTGAGGTGTGCATTTACTTCTCAAAATAGATCTTGCAGGCACTCAGCCAAACCAGGTCTTTAAAGTGCTTTCAGCTCTACCTTAGTGCACTGGAAGGGGACAATTAATTCACAGTTTGTGTCCCAGCTGCAGAACATTAGCCGTCAAGATAAATCTCCTCAACACACAGTACCTCTGTTCTAAAGGTGGATGGAGCAGTATGCAGGATGTTGAGTAATACAAGCAAACAGCAATTCAAAGTAGATATCTTATCCTTTAGTTCTCCCCTGCTGGTAATTTTCCTTCTTTGTTTTACTTAGTCAAAACAAACCCAGGAGTTCAGCATTGTAATGGTGGTCTTTAAAAAATCCTGCAAATACTACAAATACAGAAGAGGTTGTAAGAGTGTGGGGATACAGGTGTGTTACCTTGGAACTTATAAATGTCGGCCGGCTGGCTGGCCACAGAGGAGACCTCGAAGGAGAGTACAGTTGAACAGAGCAGAGCTGTCAAGAGCTGCTGAAAAACAAAAGGAAATTTAAAACATTCCATTGGCCGGCCCTGAAAAAGACCATGCAGATGAACAACAACACAAAGGTGGCTGTGTGTCAGTAGGAGCTCTCCTTTGTCATTATAGCCTATATGAGAAACTTCAACCTGAACACAACAAACCCTGACCAGTGGCAGATTTAGCTGACCATCAGTCATTAACCACCATTCATCTCCAAGTCACTCGATTATTTCATTTGTGGCTGTTGAAAATGTGCACTTAATGTTGAAAATGTAAACAAGTAAAACACTAAAATGTTGTAGTTAAATTATAATAGATTAATAGTTGACCAATAAACAACTGTAAACGTAAGTGAAACGTTTCAGTAAAGTTTAGCAAAGACATAGGTCTAAACAAATGGCTGCACCTCAGTCTATGGGAAAGCAAGAACACTACCTTTTTAGCCAGGTTTCTCAAACACAGGGAGACAGTCCCATGCTCAAGGTATATTTACATTTGTTATGGAACAAGAAGAGCATGGAGATCAGTTCAGGCTGTTGTTGTACCTGGAGGTTTTTCATCATGGAGCTTCATTTTCTTCCTGCGTGTGCAGGTTTTCTTCAGGTACTCCAGTTTAGTCCCAAGGATGTAGAAATATACCACTTTAAGTCCATAACCCTGTTGAAGAGGTCGTGATTTCCGGACTATTGAGCGCCTTAAATTTAAAAAGAAAAATATGGTAGTACATACATAGGCCGCACTTCTCTATACGCCGTAGGTGTCCACGTTGTAACATGAGATATTTACACAGAACGATTTTGTTTTCGCTTTTAAATAAATAAATGTTTTTTTTTCTGAACAGTGCCTGTAAGACAGCTGGTTGCACGTTAGTTCTTTTCTGCTTCGGCGCCCCGACCGTAGTTGGAATGCACAGGGGAGACTTGGTGATCTGCTCCACATCCGAAGCTAACATTAGCTCCGGGGCTAACTCCCTTCACTTTGTGCTTGTCCTCACCAGAGGTAAACAGAAACGGGGAAGTCGGGGTCTTTATTATCAGCCACACCGAGCACAACAGAACATAAACAGTGTTTTAAGAGCTGTATAACCAATTCACGCTTCAAAATGACAGGGCTCAAGCTCCGCTCAACTTTCGTTACCGTTCTCTCTCGCGCGCCACGCAAATATACGCACTCAGACAGACCTACTCTAGAACTATAATTGACCGCTAGCTGTATGAACTTCGCGAGCCCGTAATATCCATAAAAAACCCGCATTCTTGTTTAAGCCGCATGGTTTAAAGCGTGTGAAAAAAGTAGCGGCTTATAACAAGGAAATTACGGTAATTATTTATCGGGGACACCGTGTAGCAGTGAGCATGCCCACCTTGCAACTAAAAAGATAGTTGCGTGTTCCATTCCCAAAGGAACCAAATTTCTCTAATGGCACATCCTGTGTCAACTGCAAAAAACACTGTAAATGTCCGCATTGTGGGACAGATAAGGGTAACAACAACAACAATTATAATCATAATAAACAGGGTTCCCCTTGACTTTGTTTAAAATATTAGGTTTGCTCTGATATTGAAAAAAAAATTAAAACATTTTTTCTAGGGGATTTAAACTCGGGATCATACTAGTGAAAGCTGTCCATGACACTTCAGAGACTGTAGACAATGTCTCAACATGTTATTACTCTTCAGATATTAAAACATTGTAATCACAGCATCTCTCTTTGAACTTAACTTACCCTTGTTGTGTTAGCATCACTTGTTCTTAACAGTGTCGTTCCAGTGTGAAGCAGAAGAACAGCAACACCTCACAGCTTTGCCCTGGTGCCTCCTTCCTCATCCTAACAATCTACCATCTCTGTTTGCTTCTTGTTCCCCGACCCGCTGTAAGAGCTAACAGAACCTGGTGACCTTGAACAAGATAGGTACGTGTTGAAATCTGCCAAATTCTGTAATGTCCACACTGGCAGACCTGCTGTCTCCTACCATTTTCTCTGACAAATATTAGCAGGAAAGGCAAACCTGTGCTGGCTGACTGTGACATTGAGCACATTAATGGATGACTTTAGGCCCTAACTTTCCTCCTTCTCTGCTGCTTCACCTCATGCAAACCTAAACCCCCACAGGAGCCAATGGGAGAGAAAGTTACGTTTTTCCTCCTTGTTAATTGAAACCCTTTTAGCTGCGAACCAACAGGCAACCTTTTATTTGACCTTCTTCCTCACCTAGAGAAGAGAAAATTGGTTCAGACTTTAATGGCGTTCACACCAAATGTGACAGAGGCAAAAGAAAAAGAAGAAGCTTGAAACTCCTGTATCGCACCTCTCGATCATTTCTGGATCATCGCCTCATTTGCTTGTTGCGCCTAGATGCTCTGGAAAAAAAGCAACCTAACGAAAAGATTTGTGGCTGTTGTTAGAGCAAGGCTTATACGTTGCATTTAAATACTTAAATCAAACAGGTTTCAGGTTGCAGCTTGTACATGGTCTACTTTACTTCATTAACTATCATCTAAACATATATTTTAAAATTCAGTTTACACTCTTGCCCATTTCTGAGATGTTCATCGAAATATCAGTTTTTTTTCTTGAGATAGATACTAACACTTTCATACTGTTTACCACATAAATAACGCTGTTCTTCTCTCTTCCACCAGGATATGTTTATTTACACTGGCAAATGACAGGAGTCACTTGTGTTTCACAGGTACATACAGAGAGACATTAATACTTCCCACCTCCTGCACCAAACAAAGTCAGCAGAAGACAGTTCTGGGTAAACAATGAGCAGGGGGACTGAGCGGATACATATACTGTACACTGAGCTCAAACACACCTGTTGTATCCCCCCCACAAAGAAGGCAGGTCAGAGGAGACGAAAAGGACAGATGCAAAGAAAGAGGGAGAGGAATTATCATATTCAAATACAGAAGATTTAGAAATCATAGAGCCACCAGGCACTGTTCTCCCATATTTACATTCGTTAGAAAAGGCTGCTGAGCCAAACCACGGCACCGTCACCAACGTGAGAGATGCAGGTAAAGGAAAACAAAGGCAGCACTAAAGGAATGACAAAAACGGATTCTCGGGAGGAGCGAGCAGTGGGTAGGCAGACTGCAGAGGCAGTGGGCATAGCGCTGATTTGGGCACCAAGGGAATTAATCACTGTCGAGAACAACATAATTAGGTTTTACCTACAGGAGTGTGTGCTCCAAAACTCTGCGAGAGAGCTTTTGCCAACTCCACACTCCGAGGGAGATCCATTTACCTTGGATACTGATGTCTGCTGTGCAGTCACAAACATAATCAGACCAGCAGAGCAGCGTATTACTAAAAATTAACTCTCATCAATAGTCAGGAGAATTCACAAAGAAGTAAAAAAAAGAAAAGAAATAGCAGCATGTATTGCTACCTTCAAATGCCAGTGTTATTTTCATTGTTTTGTTTTGATAAGTAGGTTCACACTTAAAATAAATTAACTTAGGCACACACACACACACGTATTAATACACACCAGATGAAGACATGTTCAACACAGAGATGCCTCTCATTTATGGAGCATTCATGTAAAGATATACATTTGATGACACTAAAACCATAGTTGTGTAACCACTTACAGTCACACTAGGTAGTTGTACAGTATTTGTTCAGTGTAGTTGACTACAATTTTAGGAATTCACAGAATCACCATAATAGTCTTTACTTAAAGTCACCATTAATGCAATGACGATGAGTCAGCAGGACGGTCGGGGGGACGAGGGAGGGGCGGGGGGTAAAAAGAAGAGGCACACTGACTGCCTGCTATAAAAACCAAACAGCTCTGGGAAACGGATTTTCTACTGGGCACGACTGTAAAACACATTGTTACATTATCATTTCATTTTTAAAACAAAAAGGTTTCATCCGAGAAGCGTTCATAAAGAGAGCCTTTTGAATATTAAGGTATATTAACCTCAAAGTCACACAGATACACACAAGAAAATTGTATATCATCAAAAAAATGACACAACAGGTGAGAGATTCTTAGTCGTTTTGTCTTCAGTTCAGATGATTTTTAACAACATTTTTCAGCATAAATGTGTAGATTTCTATATTGCACATTACACCCAAAAAAACGTTTGTTAAGTAGTTTCTGATCATCGGTGCCACAGATGATCCAAAACTACTTCAGAAGATGTTTCAATATTTCATTTGAAATCATTGAGATCATTTGATTCTTTTCCTGGAGATCCAGTCTTTGCTGCTTTTTAGATGAATATATTGACAGAACAGGTCAAAATGGTCTTAATAGTTTGGAGTAAGTAACATAGAATTCAGGTCTTTGGTGTTTTTTTTTTTCTCTCTGTTGAAGCTAGCTGGTATAGATGACACTGCTACAGCATGTTCTGCTCATTGGCTGGATACCTTGGCTTGGTTTGGGCTTTAGGGGAACTGGAGATTAATACATGACTGCCTAACCTGTGGGCTGGTACCATTTTTCAACATTTCTTGTGTCCCATAAAGCATTGAAGAATAAAAAAAAACAACAACACTAAAATGATAGTAATAAAAGCAACAACAAACTGCATTTATCATTTATGGCACGTGAGCACAAACAATGTACATTTATCGCTCAGCAAACTCCCTTTTCCCTCTGTGTTTTCACTCTTTATTTTTATTTACACATGCCTTTCTCTGGGGCATCGTTAGAAACAGATATGTTTTAGTCAATCTTTTTTTCCCAGTGTTTTAGACTCTCAGGGTTTTGGTCTTGTGATCCGAATGTTCTTTTAGTAGCATGGGAACTGACCCCCCTCCCCTACGCCCTGCTGTTATCAGTCTTTTTGTGGATGCTGTTGTCCCTGTGCACCTTGATTTCAATCGTATCTGGCTTGAGAGACTCTTTTCCATTTTCTTCCTTCAGTGGCAGCTTCCTGCAGATGAGGAAAGGGAAACAATACAGCAATGCAGAGAGGTGAAGTCACAGCATGTGCAATCAGGAGCTCAGACGACTGAAAACAAACAGAAATGCCGCATGTCGAAGAGAAAAGGTGAAAAGTGGAGGTCGTGCGGAAACTAACACACATATACACATACACACATATACACATACACACATACGTACGTACACACGTACGTACATATATATATATATATATACACACACACACACACACACACACACACACACACAATACAGGGGGCCTCCATTTCCAAACCATAACTTGATTTTCACTGTGTGTCAGAACTCACATACCGGACATAATAGGAGTGAGCCACCTAAGGCACCTTATGACTGCTATAATTATTATTCAACGATTGTCATGATTTTAACAATTAAAACAATTTTTGATCCATCCCCATATCCAATCCAATCCAAACATTCTTCCAAACGCTTGCTTTTAAAGACAAAGTTAATTGCACATCCTGTAACCACATTCTTAGCTGCCACCATCTTGGTGTCTCTGTTGGTGCGGTCCATTCTTTAAAGCGTCCAGGCAGCATGTGCGACTTTGATTATTTGGCTGTGCACTGCATTTGCATTCTTTGTTATGATAAAAAATTGTTTAAATTCTTTTTAAAAAGTAATCTTTTATATATATATTCATTGTTATTGGGAGCCACAATGAAGGGCAAAAAGTTCCCAAAAAAACAACATAAACGAAAGAAAGCGAATGTAGCACAATCCAATTCATGGCGTACGATCGGTGAATGTAAACGGCAAATATGGCAGTGTATTCATCCACTCCGCTCGTCAACTAGTTCCTGGGTGAAATTTGTTTCAACGCAGTTTGTCAGAATCATGGACCAAGACTTTCTTAATGCATTTCACCTGAGGCCATTTTCTTCCCGTACTTCATATTAACATACTATAAGTACTTTGATCCAGCTATTGTTCTGACTACATGGACTACAATAGGGCACTGCACAGAGTTTGACACCAGCTTCTGCTGTAATTACATGGCTGCTTAACCGTGACCGAAGCAGAACACCAGTGTTACTACTCTCTGAAAGTGTCGTTAAAGAATGTAATGCCGAGTTCAATTGAAATCCCCATTAAGATGGTACATTTATTCAGATTTTAGTGGAGCTCATTTTGTTTTTAGAAAATGAACGCGGCCTCTAAATAAGTGGGGCCTTTGTTATTCATTCAATTAAATATTTAGAGGAATGCATAAACGGTTTCAAATATCTACCCTCATTTGTTTCACTTGACTTTCTTTTTTAAATTTTTATTTTCACTCAGCCCAAAAAGGAAATTAAAGTAACAAATAATTTTAGGTGAAACTGCGGAAAAGAGGATGTAAAATGGGAAAATATATTTGTTGCTCTGCAATTCAAAACAAACATAACTCACAGAGCAGTTCATCTTAATCCAGAGCCCAGAGACAGAGGACATTAAAGAGCCCAACATGACGAGAAGTGTGAATATCTGGACGTTTAAAGGCAGTCTGATTTTTAATTACTAAAATCATCACCATAAACAAATTGGATAAGGTAAAGGTAATCTGCAGAAATGATTGACTCTCTGTTTAGAAAATAAGCTGAGAATTTGTAAAAAAAATACTGTTATATCCAAAAATAAAGATTGTTTTTTTTGACACAATACGTATAAAACAGCTCTGATAGAGGTGTCCTCATAATAATCACACTGTGTTTACAATGGGATTCATTTTTTAATTTTAAACTGTAATCAGTACTTTAATAAAAATCATTTGGAAATAGCAAATAAAAATGTTTACCAACTACGGGGGAATAATCATGAGGGGAGATCATGGATGAAACGGCAACCCTGCTTAATAAAATACCTAATAAGCCCAACTATTGCGATGGGACATCAGGGAATTTGGCCTTTTTTTTGCCTGTTAGGGAGAATTTTCTGCTCAGAGAAGTCAATTTCATGTCCCATTACTTTCATAGATACCCAAATTGGACTAAACCTAAGATGGGGAGGCTGTTTAAAAACACAGAAGGTCCTGCTGCTGCCACATGTCTTAGCAAAGACACTATTAACCACAGTGGTATGTATGTTCACTTTCTTATTAAGATAAAAACTTTATTAGCCTAAATTACAGCAACACGATACAGACTGTTAATACTTCACACACAAAACCCTGACCTCGACTAATGAGAAATCTTGGAGCCATGTCAATGCACACCTTCATATTGGAAAATATTCTTCAGTGATTAAAGCACACACACACACACACACACACACACACACACACACACACACACACACACACAAGTGTCTGCAAACACAAACGCTTCTAAATGACATTTTAAAAGTCAGGCACACAAAGTTAAAGGATTGCCACTCGGTGCCGACAACACTCTTTGATTATGTGTCCAGAGGCTGCGGCCGTCTGCATTTCACACAGCACTGGGGACTAGGTATCCTTGTGAATTTGTAATTTGTAAGCTTCAAAATGACACGGAAGCACAGCAGGGACGCCTCGTGCTTCTGTCTGCCGGTGTTAATTAAGCAACAGCATATCTACATTGGACAACGAAGGTTTCACACAGAGATACAGTATGTGGCCCGGGGCCTAAAACACATCCCTGGGATGTTTGCTTACACTCTTATTCAAATCTTTACACTCGTGTTCATACTCTCCTCAAGCCCAGGGTCTGAAGACAGTGTGTGCCAGTGTGCATGGATAACAAGGACAACAGTAGCTGATGGTTGGACAGTTTCCCTGCTGGAGTTAGTAGGAAGCCTGGCAAAATGATATTCTGAGGCACAATTCCAAATGTAAATACTTGTAAACATAAACATAATTAGGAATATTAAATACGGATATTAAGAACAGACCAACCTATGGAGTCTTAAATGTCAGTTTGTGTTTTACAGATTAAAGGTTTTTTTGATAACGTTACATGTTGTTGTGAATCAGTTCATACAGTGTTCATATTTAAACATAATGGTGTTCATTCACAGTAGAGCGGCAAAAACAGAAGATATTTTTGAATAAGAGTGGAAACTTGGCAGCAACAAAGGGGTCGAAAAAGGGAATTGAATACAGAATTGCATAAATTGGGGAAAAAAATCTAAGGAAGACAAATGGAATAATCACAGGCTTTTCAATTTAGCAGTGAAAATGTTTTCGACATGGCTGAAGATGTCTAAGTGCCTCCTCACTGGCTCCACCTCTCCTCATTTTTTAGCTTTGTGAAGGTTACTTTTTCTTGTTTAATAATCTCTCTCTCTCCCTGGACAATCACCCCATGCTCTAAGAAAACAGCGTGTGATGACTCAGCGTGTAGCAGACTACTGCAGCAGAGACAATATCAGTTTGTTTTTGTTTACCATACATGAGGGATTGTATTTTGTCCATTTATTTGGAGAACTATTCGATTTCACCTTCTTCGTCATCACTTACAGATAGAAAAACACGGAGCACCTTATTCAAATCTAAATTATGTGAAAAAGCATTGATAACTTTAGACAGAGCTGCATGTGGAACGATTTAGGTTTGAATACATGACTTTCTCTGTAGGAGAGCCTTTTAAAACCGTGGTTCATTTGTTTTCTGTGTCATTTCCTTTCTTTGAAGTGGTGGCCGTAGCAACAATGTAGGGACTGTCAGGTCCATAATAATGCAGACTGGAGCTGAGTGACTCAGCAGGAGTCAACAACTTCACCCTTTAGTTGCCTTCGTCTCTCTTTTGTCTATTGCTCTCTGCCCCATGTTTGCAGCCAAGACATTACTGTGGCATACGGCCAACACAACGTTAAGTCTGAATTGCTCTGTGATTTTCAATAGACCTGATGTTTTTACCAAGAAAGAACATTTTCTAACAAGAGGAACATTAACATTGACGTGTGATTGCTCAACTTTTACTCCCATCTACTGCAGTTCAAGAGGTACAGTACCTTTGAAAGGACCAGATGTGCATGACAAACACTTTTATATTGCATATATATATATACATATATATACGCCCTTGTTTATGCTGAAATGATGCTTAAATCCTACATTAATGTCTTTTTTTATTTGTTTACTAAGAACTCAGAGAAGAGTCCAGAAAACAAACGCATGGCCGTGAGCTAGTTCTTTTGTTATGATGGCATACAATGGTCATACAGTGTTATTCTAATAATAGCCTGGATTTAGTGGAAAACATTAACACAGGCAGAAGAAGGAAGGGGTCACTCTGATCACGGAATTGTCGAGGAATGCTCATAGCACGGGAAAAATATATGAACAGAATCCTTAAAATAAAAACTCTGGCCATTGTGTCACAACAATTATTTTGACAGTTAGTGGTAATATTGAGTTCCCTGCGTAAATATGATATATTATTTTATATTGCACCAATAATTTGGCAATGTAACCCACGCGAAGCCAGATGTCTGCTGACTAACATTTTGATGCCACAATGAGTGAAAAGGTAAAAAATGAAAACTTACAAATAGGCAGCCTTGCCCTCCTCTATTTCCTTGCCCTTGCCCCCGGTGGCGGTTTTCTTGCTGCACAGAAAGCGCGTGATGCACATCAGCAGGCCACAGTGACGCAGGAAGAAACAGCTTATGTCAACCAAGATGAGGAAAAGTAGGAGCGCTCCAAATCCAAGACCAACAACTGCCCCGAGGCCAAGGCCATTGAAGAGGGATTCTGCTAAGGCATGGAAAAACACAAAATCACAAAAAACACAGAAGAAAAATAACTCTGTTAGCAGGTTTGATTAGGGTTCGGAGCTAGACCACACTAGATGGGTCATGCAGCAGTGTGCAAATCAGTTGCCAACATCTGAAGGATAGCGTCTTGACCATCCATCCATAGAGTATGTGAGAAACACACCCTGTTTACAGAATATAAAGAATTTGCTATTAGTTTATTCACATGAAATAGTAATAGTCATTAATATTTTTTACAACAGTAAAAACAAGCAAAGTATTCCGTAATATACCTAGATAATGAAGAAATGATTTGATCAAGTGAAGAAAAGTTAAATGCAGACACAGTAGTTTGGACGAAACCATTCCCTCTCAGTTCTGAACAGTGTTATTACATACCTGTATCCTGTAATTGTAAAATGTTGTCACTGTACTGTGCTCCGTGTCTGGACTTTTTGTTACAAATTTCCTTTCATAGTCACTCCAGAGGAAGGGAAGCTGCAGATAAAAAGCTCTTGGTGGACGTAATCAGCTCCAACACAAAGGCAAACACATTTTCTCTGTCTAGTTGCCCCAAGGCTTCGTACCTTCACTACCCCACAGTGTGCCAACTGACGATTATTTCCACAGGTGCAGAAGTGTGTTCATTTTTCACTAATATTGAGGCTCCATGCAGCTCTCGGTGGCCCACATCAGCATTACTGGGATGATGTCTCTGCCCGTGTGTCCACTGGGACCCGTACACTCTGTAGCTGTGCAGCACTAAGAAGATTCATGTAGAGCTGAGTGTTTCCAGCCCACAGTGAAAATACATGCTTTCAAAAAGGTTCAGCAAAGTCAAACATTGAGTTTTTTTGTTGTTGTTGTTGCTTTTTGTATAGTATTGAGACAAATGTCATTGTGAGACATTTGTAGGCACGGAATAAAATGAAAAGAAAAAAAAAACCTTCAACTGATCGTGGAGTCCAACAGAGAGAACACACACTGAAGAATCAGTGCTCACGGCTGGAGGTTTGACATTGCCAGTCATTGATGAAAGCGTTACAGTGAATGAATGCTGATGATCTTGTTTGTTGAAAACAGGAAATGGCCTCAGAATGTTTACACTGATTTTGACTTTGCTGTGTGCAGTGTTATCAGGGGCTCACAAGACTGTCATTGTGAGCTTATCTTTATCATTGAGACCAAATGACAAATGAAGGCAGGTTGATGAATAGGTATTATAAATTATTGAGAGAAGAAAAATAATTTAAAAAAAAGTGTAGCTTCACATTTAGTTTCATATTGTTGGGGGATTTCACTGAGCATCTTGACGGTGGCTTCAATACATGGGTGAGTCAATCAGCTGGTCAGCTGTAGACTGACTCACTACCCCATGATGCTGACCTGATGTTGATGCCTCCAAAAACCACATGTGGAGCGTAAGATGATCCTTTTAGCTCCAGGTACTAGGATCACAAATCATAACATTTTTCCCGCATTCATTGCCTGTATACTAAAGCAATGAAAAGTGGGTGACGTTATATTGGGTTATACTGTATATTATAGTATACATCATATATCAATCACTATATAAATCAATAACTATATATATTTTTATTTTCAGATTACAGGACAATAAATACTATCTATACCAGGCAAACTATGGCCCAGGGGCTGGATGTGGCCCGTTTAGCTTTTTAATCCGGCCCGCTATAAATTTATATTTTCTTGTGGCACTTTGGCCCAGAGGCAATGTCTCTATCATTGGTGTGGAACCCAAGGTTCACCTCCTGGGTGAGATCAAAAACAGGTTACTGCGACCTGGTAACAGAAATGCAGATGAAAATGGATGGATGGATTTCCATTATCATTATATTTCTGCCTTTTTCCTGCAATGCCCACATTTCCCCAATAGATGGCATAGAAAAGGCTAATCTATCTGCTCCTGGCCTGGCCAACTGTGGCCCGCAACTCAAAAAGTTTGCCCACGCCTGGTCTATACTATACTACAACACTTTATTATGTGTCTCACTGACAGTAGATCACACCCTTTAAGGAATGTATAAACCTTACTGCAATCCTAGAATGTATAAAACTATATTCCAGCTATGATTCACCAGCACACAGCCCAGAGTGAACACTTAAACCTGTTTAATTTTTCAATGCAGCATACCAAGGGTACCCAGTCAACAAATTGGAAATGTGTTCTCTGGCAGCACACTGAAAACTGTCATTGTGTGTTACAAGCTGAATAGCTCTTATACCGATGATGAATTGAAGCTGAGCCTGGTGACAACACAGTAAGAATGAATGAGTCACAGCACAGAGAAAAGAGGTCCATGAAGGAATAGGGAGAAATGTGGCTAGAGAAAGAGATGTTAGTACACAGCCTTGATGGCAAGAAGAACTGATTAAAATGCCTCGCTTGTTTGCAAATGTGTGGATGTCGGATTTGAAACTCATAGACTGGATCAATGTTTTTCTTTGCCACAAGCTAATGTTTTGAATCCCACCTTTTGAAGGTTTATCTGAGGTAATTTAGCAGCTGAAGAAACAGATTCAGAGCTGGTAAACAACACCTTTTTATCTCCCCCAAAGAATTCTCATACTTCAGAACAGAAAATAGACACTAATCCTTTCTCTAAGCCCCATGTTTCTTCTCAGTCATCATCAAAAGGCACAGCCTTCAGGTTTTATTCCTTCTTACATTTTTATAAAAATACAGCGTGTGTCTCTTTTGTGCATTCATGACCGAGCAAATATTGGAGAACTATAGAAACTGTAGAAATGACTCTGCTTAACAAACGCAGCCCCCCTCCTACCCCCACCTTTTTTAATTAATACATTGTAGAACAAGATTGACTGAAATTATTGATTTTACAACTAACAGTTTTGAAGGATCAGAATGTAGAAAATGTAAAAACATTAATGACAAAGTAAAAGGTAGAAAATGAGAAAGTTCGTTAGAACGCTGGTCTCTCAGTATATTCATTCTTTGTACAGAAATAAAGTGAGGATGTGCACGTTTCCACAAAACCTATCAATAACATGCTTTCTGTTGTCGGGGAAATCCAATAAACCTTTGTTAAAATGTGAAGATGTCCTTTCTCTTCACCGGTGGAAACAGAAATAAACAGATGATGTCCATCCTAGTGTGAAGATTGAAAATTGTATACCCTGTCAAAAAATACTATTATTCAAGAAAATATACACATGAAAAAATGAAAGATGTGTTTTTTAATTGATATTGATATAACACAATTTCATACTTCTTCTCTACGTGCTGTTGTCTCTTCTGTGTCCTAACAAAGCAGCTGGCAGTACTTTTGAATCCCCTCTACCCTCACAGAAGGCAACATCGAAAGGCAACAAAAAAAAAAAATCACAATTACTCACTTTAACATACGCCAGTTGAACACCATACATTGGATTGTGCTCCATTCACTGTCATCGTTTGTGTTTTTTAGAAATTATCTGACGTTCATTCTGGCTCCCAAGTCCAAGTCAGAGTCCTCTGATGTTTTTATGTCCTAGACATCACTACTGTGTCAGTGTAGGTGAGTGACATAGGTACTCATGTACAATATACGAGTTCCAACTTACGGCAAAACTCGAGTTACGCTGCACCAAAAGAATGGAATTCCGACGTAAGTTGAGGCACATACAGCAATTGTCCAACTACTGGAAAGTTCTAATATAAAAATGGGTAAAAAAGTAAGAAGGTAAATAATATTATTAATAATAAGTCTTCCTTGTTTTTCCCTGGCAGCGTGCAGAGGTAATTAACCAATTCATTAATTTATGAATCAATAATATTTTATGGAGTGACTTTTTTTTTCCAAAACCTTCTTATTTCCCTGCTTTATCAACCTTTAAACTGCCTCATTGTGACTATTTGTTGACATTAGAAACAATTTTCAGTTGCTACAGCCTGCTGTTTCGTTCAATCCCCCAAACCATTCACACACATCCCCAGTTAATTAGGCCTGTGATTTGACTGACTTTCCCTCAATTGGATGTGAGAGGAAATTACTCAATAAATGATGGCCAAATGGGCTGATTATGGAGGAAGTAGGAATCAATCTCATTTCCGCCATAATTAGCGAGTGTGAATAAAGATTATTACAAGGTGATCACTTCCTGGATGTCCTTTTTGGATGGTCATATTTGTCTGAGGAGGCACGTGTGTAAGATTTCCAAGTTGTTTAACTTAGAGAGATGGTTACACCGAGACACACCTCTCTGGCTTAGGAGCTACTGTTACAGCTACAGCTGCTGTTCAAATGACCAAAGTCATCCATCTACATTGTTGAAGTTAAACATGGGGCGCAAAGACTTATGGGTCGTAGATAGGAAGTAAGGAGACTGATGTGTAAAATAATTGCTAATGATGTAATTGTGTAATATTGTGTTCAATGTAGTATAACTGAATATACTTTTTATACAGTATATGTTATATGTTGGGGTACTGGTTAAATGCATGTAGCTCAATAACACAATACGATAGAATTCTTACCGAATAAAGAATATAGTCTACTACAGACTATATATACACAGTATATATACAGTATGTATATATATATATATATATATCAGTCTCATTTTAAATCTTTTATCTCAATGATCAGTGATTGTGAAAATACAGTATATATATATTCGTCCCAAAATGGGGAAATTCAGTGTGAGACTTTGCAACTCACACATGCTGCCACAGGAGGCGCTATTAAGTGTGTGGTTCATCTGAGGGATGGACTCCAGGCAGATGTGTACGGCTGGCGTGATAACCTCCACAGCCTGGAACCATCTATGTGTTCATTTGTTACCTTTTGTTTTATAAAGTTAACGCCTTTTTAAAATCCTCATTTGAAATCGAGGCACTCTTCCTGGTCTGGGTGTGTTGACAGGTCCTGAAGTCGAATTTTATCAACAGACAGCACGAGTCAATAGTTTCTATTTAAGAAGTCCACTTCCTGAGATACCACGTTTTACATCCAGTTATTTGTACCAGTAGTTTCTTTTGTGCAGTTCAGATTTATAGGCAACAGCGTCTCCATTGACAACAGCCTCATTTGTGCTTAAAGCAATGCACCGGCAATGGCCCAGTGCGTGCCAAGGCTGGCTTTATCTTGACTGGAACATCGTGCTCCCTTGCTTTTGTTATCTTCAGTGCTGTCACTTCTTTGAGCATACACAAGCACAATTTCCACACATCTTTGAAAACATACTCTAGAGCCTTTTAAAAAGCAATTTGTCAGAAGTTAAAGCTATTCAATAAAAAGCAAATTGAGGACATAGAAAAAGGACAGGAACAAGCTTCTGCAATGCAAAAATATTAGTATGGAATAGTGTTCTTTCTTTATCACACTTCTTACCTGTGATGTCAGGTTCCTGTGGCATGAAGAACTGATAGAAGGTCGGCTCTGACAGGCCCTTGACATTGCGTGCTGTGATTTCCACTTCATATCTGGTGTTCCACTGCAGCGGCTGCAGCATTGCAAAATCATTTGCTCCAGGCACTAGCTTGGTCATCCACTGTTCCTCTTTATCCTGACAGAGAAAATGGAAAAGCCTGACTAAATAGAAACTAACGATGGCAGAGTAACGTACTGGCAAACAACTGTTTGCCCTGACTAAATAGAAACTAACGATGGCACAGTAACGTACTGGCAAACAGACGAACTGTGATTTAGACTTTGGATTTTTTTAATAATGGAAAGACTTTACTTACAGTCTTGTACTTGACTATGTATTCTACAATGGGCATCCCTCCGTCATCCTGCTTCACCAGCCCCAACCTGTAGGTTTTGCCCATTCCCCTTTGGCCGTGGACTGCCGGTGGACTTGGCTCCCCTGTAGAAAACAGAGGTAGAATATCTGAGATGAGACAAGACACAAAACTACACCTCTATGTGTGTGTGTTTAACTAAGTTTGATATACATTAGATCATGAGCAGGTTGTAAGAATGGAGACTTACGGATGGGCAAAGTCTGAAAGGTCTCCAAGTTACTGAACTCCCCTTGACCTTTTCCATTGACAGCCGCCACCCGAACCTCATAGGTGGTGTTGGGCTCCAGTCCAGTTAGCACAACCGTTGCTGGAGAATGACATAAAGGAGTGGGAAAAATGTTGTAATCATTTACCAAGGCCAGCTTGTCATCACAACATCTGTTAGTCCGAAAAAAAATAAGCTAGCCAAGCATTTTTTTTTTACTAAGATAGAGGAAAATTAAATATTCTTGAATTCCACAGCCATAAAAGATATGTTACAATAAACAATAAACTATTAGTTATAGATATAGGACTTTTATAGCTGAAAAAGCAAATGGGTTTATAACTTCAACTCACTGTCAGGTTGTTGTCGGACTCATTTTCTAGTTTATTTTTATTTTTTTCGTGAACATGAATTATAAATTACTGCCTAACAACATCTTTATTATTCACCAAGCCTTTGCTTGGTCCACCCTGGTGTATTTGTTTATGAACTGAGATACAATTGTTTTTTTATGCAATACATACATAATTATAAATCCAGCGAAATGAAATAAACCCAATAGTAGCCATGATTTATCTGTTTTCTTTTGTAGTCTTTTTAGGCACAGCCACAACTTTATAGTTAGTCTTAGTATAAGGAAGAGTTATACGGATTAGACTTTTAGTAAGTTTATAATGCACCACATATTAAAATAACAAGAGATGATATAAGGGAAGATTTTTAGATCATAATGTAGAGCTTACTGCATACTGTACAACTGACCAGAAGTGCAGGAACTATTTAAAGCAACAGTAAATGTCATCAACATTTCAACCACATTGCAGATTCCCATTAATTCTAACGGCTTCAGTGTCAATTTACACAATTGTATCTATTCAGGGAAGCAGGAAATGCCAATGTCTAATGAGCCTGAGTGGAAGTTGTTTTGTTTTTGTCATTCTCTGTGAATTAAATACTGGAACAGTTGTTTTGCACTTCTTGAGCTCCACAACTAAAAAACTCTAATTTGCAAATGTGTGCTAGACTCCTCTCTACAATTTATGCAGCTGTTTCAACTTGGGTGGAAGCATATAAAAGAAATAGGTCCTGGCGCCCATTTATGTAAGAGACTTCACTTTCTGCTGAGAATATATAAAGCAAGTACCACTCATCTGGCTTACAATTAACTTTGCTTAGCACTTGGATTTAAATGCTAAATAATGATAATAAAATCATTTGGCTAAGTAAATGTGTCTTTATGCTCTATTTCAACAGGTGTTCAACTGGTGTTTCCTTACACAGACTGCCACAATAACTGCTCGTGTTTTTGAGTCATGTATGGATTTTGTTGTGTATGAATTTAAAATGTTGCTGCTTTAGAAAGAAGGTTTTCAGCACCACTTGCAGGGGAGGTGGTGACGCACGGAAAACTAGACTAAATACCAGCATACTGTAGACCAATACTGTAAGTTCTGGCACTCTTTTTCTAGTTGTAGCTGGTAGATTTGAAACCCTACCAGATATATTGGCAGGAAACAACAAAAGCACAACACAATTGGCTGCTGAATACTGTGGTGGAAATATATATATATATATAGATATTTTTATGTATATATGCGTATATATACATAAATATATATATATATATATACTGTACATAAAAATATGTTAAAGGTAATAGCAGTTAAAGGTATTGCAAAGAGATGTTTACTATAAACCCAGACCCTGTTAGCTCACAGATGTCTCTGATTCCCTCACTTTTTGGCATCATTTTTATGTTGTTACATGTTTGTGTGTACAGTAGTGTGTGTTCTAAACTCTCCTTCAGCAATAATAATCTCTGTGGACACTCACAGGCCTTTCCATTCTAAAAGAAACCCTGCCTTGGCACTCACAATGGTCTCAGATGACGGCCCTTATCACAAGTATGTAGCTTTACATGTTGATGTTTTCAAATTCCAGAAAAGGTCATTCAAGAGTAGATAAGTACTCACTTTGGACACTGTGTGACTTGATGTCCCGCCAATCTGGTGAGCTGAGCTCCTTGTACTGGACCAGATAATAGCTGATGGGTACACCACCATGCAGATCAGGCTTCATGAACGTGACAGTTGCCAAACGCTGGGACACGGCTGACAGATGCACCGAGTATGGATTTGATGGTACATCTTAAGGGGACAAAGTTCAGACATCAGTCAGCGTTCCGGTTTCATCACTGTGTTGTCATGTAAAAACAAGGATTTATATTCTGAAGACACAACTGTCAGCACTCTGGAACACTGTGTTTGGAAATATTTGACCAGCACTGACTGCTAGTCAAGGAGTAATAGCCTTTTAAAGAGTTTGCATCTCTCACTGCATTTTTTTGGGTCAGGCTAACTTCACGCTTTCTGCAAGGCAACATATTAGGTCAGCTTTTTACAAAGGGCTTTTCTCCTCAGGCACAGCAATTCAATTATGTGCTAAAGATAATTGGATTGCTTTATTGTGTATCAGTCGGTGCTACCGTAAATTAGGGGCTACTTCAGAAAATAGTGAGTTTTATGGTAAATCAGCCAGCACTATTTGAGATTAGGCTGGAGTGAATAGGAGTTGGCAGTTGTAAAAGGATTTATCTTAATGAATTCTATTACAGTCAGTGAAGAAGTAAAGACGTTAGAAAATAGTTGCATGGTTGGTGTTCCAGCTGAATGTGGCTGTGTACTCCGTGTGCTCCGACTGTACTTACTTCTTTGTTTTTTAATTCAAACTACAGCTCAGGTGAAGAAGCCACAGTATTGTGACCGGCAGACTCACCTGCCTGAGCCAGGATGAAGTCCTGGTATCGAACACCAATGTTGTTTCTCGCTGTGCAGTTGTAGTGGCCGAAGTCTCTGTCAGACATTGGAGTCACCTAGGACAAAATCAAAATGTCTCTCAGTCCTTGATAATGTCAAATGTCATAATCCAACCATAAACACCCGTATTACAGTGTTTTATGTTTCAGCATTAACGCATGTTCATTTCTTATAAGACTGATTTCCAGGTATTATAAGTATTTGTATAAGTGGGGATGGTTCAATCCGATACTCAGCATCAGTATTGGTCCGATATTATAGACTACAGCCTGAGCCGATACCTAACCTGACATTCTGTAAGCCCAAATGCTGAGCCATTGATATCAGTATTGGCGGATACTCCAAGTTACAGTATCGATATCTGACATGAAGAAGTTGTATCAAGCCACCCCTAAGTAGAAGTTATCATCAAATCTGATGTGTCTGCAGGTTCGCTCCTTTAACAGATTAAACCATGTCATAGATTATAACTCCAGTAGTTAACACCGCTCCAACATTACCTTTGGTTTCAGGACTTGTACCTACCTCCAACACTGACTTGCCAACTGCACTGTACACACGCATATTGGCTGTCCCGTCTGCAGAGATGGTGAAGGGCTCTCTCCTCCACAGCATGGTGGCAGGAGGGTTGGAGGTCACGTCACAGCTGATGTTGACTGGATTTCCCTCCCATGAGTAGTAGACAGTTTGATTGGTCAGGAACTTTGGTATATCTGCCTCATTAAAAGGAGATTGTTTATGTCACAACTGTCACATAGTCCCGTCTCCAAAACCAAGATATACGTTGAAGGCATGTGTCTCTCATAATCAAAGGATTGTGGGTATTCAAGACCTGTCCCCCTTATCACTCTGTGGCAGTGAATAATAATCAGAGCTACACCTCAGAGGTCGTACGGCCTCGCCGTTGTCCTTTCCTGTTTGACTATCTAATGCTAACGTTTTGCAAACACCAGATTTCGGAGCAGTTGTTTTTCTGCTTCTTTTGTTTCTGTTAGTTATAAGTTTAACCCATCACGGCTTCCCACTGGTCCGTGAAATGTCACCATGGCTGTCAAGATGATTGGTTGGGCTGTGTTCTATAGTGTACTCTGTCATGTTGGACAGCCTTGACATGACATAAATTTATAGTTCAATGACTGTCCAATCAGGCATTGTGACCACAGTAACAAATAAATACTTTGCAGCCTGACCTTGGCGGTGCGGCTCTGTGGCTTCAGGCACAAAAACCCGACAGGATTTTTTGAACATTTAACTCAGATTTGTTGTACAATCAGTGGCAGACAGTTAAACTCACAAACAAGCTAAAGCAATGCTGAATTCTTGTGCTGCAAAACACCATCAACACAAACAGAAGCTCATTTACCCCAGCAAATAGCAGGGCAATAATGGACAGCCAGTCAGTCCAACTTGTTCAGAGGACATTATGCTTGTTTTATGTTTTCCTTCCAGAATTTCATTAAAGAGATTGATGTGTGGTTCTCTGTCACAGCTAAGGATGTGTTATCCCTCTGCAGCCTGCAGTGATTTAGTAAATGAGTTCATTAGTTCAGCTGCAAAGGTTTGGTGGAACCCCGTCACACTCACACACATTGTATGCATTTCGCTGCAGCTCACGGACCCTGTTGTCAGCTGTGAAAAACAAGTATACGACTCAATGAGCTAAGATTTAGTGGAGCTGGGTGATTTTCTTCATCTGACTGTGCCGTCATTACTTTTAGACTTTTTAAGTGCTATTTGAAAAACATTTAAAAGATTGAGAGAATTAAAGTTGGGTTTCCAAATAAATCAAAGAAAGATACAGACGTTATTTTCTTCTCAACTCATTGTTTGACTTTCAAAGAGTGTCGGAAAAAAGAAAACCATGTTTTCACTGATATCTATTGGGCAGTAGAGTCACACTTATAATGAACCTCATCATTCCAAGTACAGAGTAAGACCTTTGGTGTGGAGCTCATTAGGCAATGAGAAAGTCGACTACTAATAACTCCCAGGAACAGTGAGTTACAGATGCAGTATTGCAGGCAATGCTGTGACTCTCTGGGTCCACTTTCCAGTGTTGTTTTTTCATGTGTATAGGCAGCAATGTTGGAGTTGACTTTACTCGTGTTCTGATGACTTGGGACTTGACTCAGAAAAAATAAAAGGGTCTCAAGTCTGGAAAAACATTCTCATGGTTGGTTTCTAGTCAGCCAAAGGTTGCTACCAACTTCATCTCAAACAAAACATACAGAATGACCTGGGATGGACCAGGGAACCAGAGACCTTCTTGCCTTCTTGGACGGCCCTTTACCCAAAAAGAAACAAGTACTTTGCAAATGCAACTTGTAAAAATGTTATGATTTCCTGAGGTGCAGACAGATTAATGTGTCAAGTAGCGCTGTTTGAAAAATGATTTATTTTGTTATTTTATATTTTAAATTATTTCTGTTTTGAATGCAAATTTAATCAACTGTCATACTTTTTAAAACGAGTTGGATAAACACTTTTTTTTTTAGTATTTTAGTATTGCCAGGGACTCTTGGCCTTGACTTGGCATATCCAGGATTTTGACTTACAAATAGACGTATTTGTACACCCAGGACCATGGTGTGACAGCTGGAGGTTGGACAGCAAGGGCCCAGATGTTTTATTGAAAAAAGCCATGGCTTCTTGTTTCATTTAGTCTAAGATCAGTTTCTGGTTCTAAACATTTACTTCAGCCTATTCTCTGCTCTCTTTGTGTTCTATAACAAAACAGATTAGACACACTCTGTGTTTAGCCAAGGATTTCTCTCTTTGTCAAGACCACACACTGTACATTATTTCCATCCAAATGTTCCTAATTTACCCAGTTAAAGCAAGGCTGAAAACACGGGTTAGCATGTTAGCATGTGACACTAATCAAACCGTATTTGACACATACTTACATTCAATGTCAAGGAACATGCTTTTCTGATGACCTCCTATCCTGCTTTGCGCTTCACAGTCAAAGCGTCCGAGGTCACTGAGCATCACTCGACTAATGGTCAACACAGACTTGCCGTGTCGACCACGGACTTCAAAACGACTGTCTAGCCTCTGAGGAAAAACAAACAAACACACGAAAAATGACATTACTTCTGTAGGCTGATCAAGCCCAGCATCCTGTGATGTTAAATTTAAGTTCAACTATTTAAACTATTTACATATATCCATAACATACAGCAATGTTTGTTTAATAGAATAATATTAAACACTGATAGACAAGATTTATCCACGTGATTATTCGTGCATTTAGAAATTAACTAAATTCTAAATAACTTTGAATTGTTCAATTTAACAACAGAATGAAATTAAAAAGTGAGAAATAATTTTAAAAAAAACCTAAGCAAGATAGAATTAATTAATGACACCCATCCACCCACACACATCACCCAGCTGCACAGAAAGTGGACTCTGCCTACACACACACCTACAACCACGGCCCTTTGAACTTCTCACAGACTGCCTCTCCAGTGCGCGCGCGCGCGCACACACACACACACACACACACACCTACTGTATACTACTAGAATCGTCATGCCCTCCCACTCACTCACTCGCACACACAAACAGAGACATCAGCGCCACCGCCCTGCTGCAGATGAAACAGACTGTCATCGCTGCCGTTAAACTCAAACACACCGGGACTCAGTGAAGAGTTCTTTGCTCATTGTTTTGACATTTTGTGTGTATCCTGTCACTGCATATACATAGTACTGTCACTTATCATCTATATACAGTATATTTATTCTATTAGTCTGTGTGCCGCGAATGCAGAAGAATAACAGTCGTGATCATCCAGCCTTTTCTATAAAGTAAAATAAAGTCAGTCAAATCAGTTGATGAAACAGTTTTGTTTTGGCCTCCAGTCTGTTACTTCACAGATTAGTTCCATCCTCTCTAAAAAACTATATTCAACAGCTGTTTTAGTAGTCGATAAACCGAAGAGATAAACCTTTACAAGTTCACTTGATTTGTATTCACTATATCCTGTGCAGACAAACGTCCAGTGAGATAAAAGCTGATTCTAGTCATGACCCAAATGCAGCGCAGAATGCAAACTTAATTCAGTGTGAGCGTACAACCTAGTCAGTCGTGAGAAGATGAAGAAATAAGAATTTCACAAGTGGGGTCAGGTCTTCAAAGGAAGGATGGACACTGGTCAGAGATCCACAATCTTCTCAAATGCTCTTCACATTCTCACAGCTGAGGTCCTCGGAGGGTTGACAGTTGAGTGGAGAGACTAAAATCAGCCAAGTCCCTGATAAGAAACTTCATGTTGTAGGTACAGACAACGAGGATCCTCTGTCTGTGGTCAAAATGTTTCCTAGATGATTGTGTGGTTCTCTCTCCCCCAGACCACAGACAAATAGATATTTGTCAAAACTGGGAGAAAAACGGTGCCTCTTAATATGTGTTCCTCATTACCAATATCTCCAAACACTCTGTGACCATTAGAGTGAGAGTAATGAGTCTATTTACTAAGCTGCCCTGACACTGGGGAGACGATGGGCTGAGTTGAGGGAAGGAAACAACAGTATTTCCAGGTGACTGGTTAAAGATGTTCATGAAGACACCTGCAGGTCCAGAGACAAGGACTCTGGGCCCCTTCCCAGGAACACCATCTGGACTATCAGGCTTACTTCCTTAAGGTCTGGTTTGATTCATGTAGAGAAACATTTTGGTTCCTGTACCAGGGCGCTGTTCCTTGACTTCAAGGTCACATCAAGAGCTTTGAGGTGAACTTTATCGAGGGCTTTTGGTAGAAATTGGCCTCTACCCATATCTATAGTTACAGTATCAGTGCTGCGGGCAATGACGAACAGATGAAGTGTGTGGCCACTGCCTA